GTGAGGTTTTTGACGTGACGGTTTAAACCAGTGTTTAAACCGCAAAAACCTGCCAACCCTGCTTTACATAATACGAAAATAATACTCAACATTTAGTAAGGAATATACTTCAACTTTAAAACATTTATTTTACATAAATTATAAAAGGAGAGCAATGAAAAAGAAAGAAAACATTAATTTTGGAGGAACTATTTTCCATAATATTAAGAAACTAAGATACTTGTTTACTATTCTCTGATTGGTTCCCAGCAGATCACCGAAGTCAAGCATCACTGGCTACGGTCAGTGTGCGGGTGGGTGACCACTTGGATCAGTCTGCGTAGGGACCGAGGGTGTGCNCTACCGTGAAGTGCTCGACTTCGCGCGCAGGTCGTCGGGCTACCGAAGCGGGGGAGCCATCCCCTCTGCAGAGGATCAAAATTGCGATGGCATGTCTTTGGATCATCCTCCGGGATGTATCCCAGACCGTCGCCAATAGCCCATTGTGCAGCTCTAGTGCGACGTAAATTAACAACAACAACAACTCTTTATGATCAATAATTTTTTTGTTATAACGCTATTTACTATAAATATACATTTAATTAAAATTTACATTACTTTACAAAACTCATCTTGATTAAATTTTTTTACAGTTAAAATTTAATGATATATAAATAATTTCCGAGTATATGATCATAAATGATGTAAAATGGTCAGCGTAAGTAGAAAATGGTTTAAAAAATTTCTTAATGGTTATCCTGCAAAATTTTAAAATTTTGTGATAGTTTTATCTAATTGATTATGTGATAGCTTTTTTGGGCTATTAAATGAAAATTTAATTATTTTGTTTATAGACTTTTCCAAAATCCCATGTCCAAATGTCCAAATATCCTTAAACAAGCCAAATACATTTTGGAAACAGTCTTCCGACAGAAGCTGCTGTGTGTTGTATTAATCTAAGGACAAATTACTTATTAACTGGGAATTTGTCCTAGCTGGTGCTCTTTCTTTTCTGATTTTCAATTGTGTGAATATAAATACTGATGTGTTATATTCGGGGTTAGCAGGTTTTTGACATGTGACAGTATAGAATAACTAGTTAAAGTGTCAAATTAGCAAACATATTACACACTTTAACGGACATGATCTGCTATTTCATGGAATAACTAGGTATTCTATGAAATAACTGCATTATATACTTTAACGGTAACATATATAAATTTTCAGGCGAAACACTCACCAATCAGTGGGCTACCCGCTACTTTTTGGGCTACTTATTATTTTTCGAATGCTACAAATCTTAAAAATGCGCTACTTTTTTCCTCACAGAAATATATATAAATTTTTTTAAATTTTCCCCTTCCCGTTATAAAATGATTCTGAAAGTTTGCAGTTTCTTTACCCTTTTCAAAGAGGACATTTTTTGTTGTTGTTAAAAACGCTTTAACTTTAGATTTGGATTCTTGATTTGTCCATATCTATGTTTCAAATCGTAGACTCGTGAAATCGCGAAGATTTATATGGAAAAATATACGGAGAGTGTGATGGGGAAAAAAAGTCTTCAACCACTATTAATCGGTTATCTTCTGGAAAAACAAATCACGTGACTCGCTTCGCTTTGAAACTCAGAAAATTTAAATCTAGAGTCATTAAACATGTTGAATGAAATAGTTGTTGTGAATGACAATGAGTTTCCAAAAAATATCGTACTTTTAAATGATTTTTAGTAAATTCATTTTACTTTTGTAAATTACCATATATTTACAGTTTCACGAAAAATAGCATTCCAGGAAATATGGAAATTTCAAATAAAATTGAAAAATTTTCTCTGAACATTTGCTTATCGCATACACGTCCACCATTTTCAGATTTGCCAATAGAATTATTACCGCAAAAATCCCAAATTGGAGAGATATAAAATCAGTGGCGCTGTCTCTTACCAACAAAGTGGGACAATTTTTTTTTCCTGATGGCATTCCTACAAATGGGATAGATTTCTGGTGCAAGGTCACAACAATTAAAAATGCAGGTGATGATCTTGCTTTTAAGAAATTGTCTCAATTTGGATTAAATATGTAAAGTTTACCGATTAGCAATACCACAGTTGAGAGAGTGTTTTCAAGGGTAACGTCAACAAAAACCAAGCTTTGAAACAGAATGAGACTTGAACTTTTATAATCAATTCTTCTAATTAAAATGATGTTTGAAGATAGAAATACATGTTGCTATGATTTTGTACCATCAGCTAAAATGCTCAAATTTAATTCATCGATTTATCATGGGGAATCATCGACAGAGGAAAATGAAGAGGCAGATAACATTGGCGATCGAAATGGGCTGCAGGTGGCGTAGAGCAGAACTCTTTTCCTATGGCAACACTTCACATGCTTTCCCCATTAGCGTGTGGAAAGTCATAGAGGAAGGAAGTACNGAGGCAGATAAAATACTTTCGGTTATACAATTCTAATATCTTGTACTACAATAATTTTGCATTTAGCATTTTTAGTGGGTTAACTTAGTCAAAAGAATAAGCTAATGTGTTAAGACGATATTTCAAAAATTTCTGCAATTTATTCCTTCTTTTCTAAATTAAATATTGCTGAAAATTATTTTATTTTAAAAATTTAATTACGAAATTTAAAAATATATTTTTATCAATAGTATCTTTTTCTACAGAACTACCTAGCTTTCTACGTATTAAAAAAAGATTATGAAAAAATAATATTTCTTATGCAAAAAAAAAAAACATATTTTGATTCACAACCAGGATATTAATTTTGATAGAAGATTGGAAAGTGGGGTTACTTTTCCCGACTGATTTTTACACATTAAAAAGCTTGAAAAAACGCGCTATCCAATATTATTATAATATTAGTGTTTTTCATATAACGCGTTCTTTCAATTTAACACTTTCAGCAAAACAAACCACAAATGAATTCGGGAGACTCCGCAAGCTTGCTATGATGCTACCCAAAATATAGCAGACGGCGCTGTTTTACAGAAATATAGCCAAATAAATTAGAACACTCAAAACATGGCAAACTTTACACTTTATTAATGCTGTGATATTAATTTTGTTAATATATATATATTGTTTTTTTTTTATTTACTCGTTTATTTTTTGGTCTACAAAATGTTCGAATCCGCTACTTTCGGAGCTCCCATTCGCTACTTTTTAATCATAAGTTCTGGCAACACTGTTTGTATGTTTGGTTTATGGTTTGTAATCAAGTGTCCTGCCGTCGATCTAGGTAGAGCGAGATCGTAAGTTAAAAATCTTCATTAATCTTAAAATTAATTCTCAATAAAATATTAATCTATTTAATATGTTTAGTGCTATTGTATCCTTAAGTGGTTATTTTTGTTATTTCTAAATTTTTTGCATTGCTTTTCTTTTGACATGTTATCTAGCTGTATGTTCAGATGAATGAATGGAATGTTTAGTAATGCTTAACTTTATTAATGTTGTTTTTAGTTATGGTCACTGTAGAACTGTATATATAGCATTTATAACAATTTATGTGAAGCTGTGAGTATTGATATATATTGTAAGGATCAAGCTAATCGCTTAGAAACTTTGTAGTATTTTTTTCTTACCTAAATGATATAGCTGGTTTAAAGTTAAAATGACACTTCTGCACTCATTTCTCATTCAAACAACAATAATTATGTTTTCATGAAGTGTCGTTTTAATTTTGAACCAGCGATATATATACTGAACTTACATGTTATAAAATCCGTGATACAGCTGATTAATTCCTAAATTGCAGATGAATTGGTTAATCTAAGTGTGATCGATTCGCATTAAAATAAATATTAATCATTTTTGATTGAATAAAATTATCTTCAAATAGCTTGATACTTTGTTAATTTTTAGTTAACTCTTCACGATGAAGACTATTTTGGCTGGGCAAACAGTAAAGATTCCTAAAGGAGGTATGTTGGATATTTCATGATTATTCATTTATTATGACATCGGTAAAAAGGAAATGTGTGAAAATAAAATTAAAACTCCTGCATAACATTGTGTGCGATTTGTAGCGTGTGTTCTAAATAGCTTTAACTCCTGCCTTATATAAGGGTGTAATATACTGAGGTGATAATAGTTAAGGATTAATTTTTAGTTGAGAAACACAATGATTTTTTTTATAAAATTTTCATTTGTCTATTGGAAACACAATTTTTGCTTACAAATAGTTAATTTGTTATGTACATGAACAAATTAAATATTTCGTTTTTTCATTTTTAGAGTGATTAAAATTTTCCATAAATTCACACTTTTCGAAGTTTCCTAGATTATTTTTGACTGATACTTTTTGTTGTTTTAAAGCTTAACTACTAAGGTAGGAAAATTTTCTCAAAAATATTTTTTAACCCCTTAACTGCCGAGTAAAATTTACGTGATTCACTTCCCAGTGCCACCGTTTTTCGCTCAAGTGAACTTTCTTACGTGGTGTTTTGGTGGGGTAAAATGATGCACGCGTTGCAATTTAAAAACAGTTTACTTTTACAAGACAAGAGAAAGGAAAGAAAGAAAATACAAAATTTAAATTAAATAATAACAATACAATATAAAAGATGTTAAAACGTAGCTGTTGTATGATAAATCCTGAAACATGGTTGTACACATAAACCAACATCACATTCATTGCACTGATAGTGGGATTCACGATGAATTTTTTTCTTGAACAAGCAGCACATTTTCGCGATGCATTTGAAGACGTTGATGGAAAGAATAAAAAGCACCAAAATACACAGGGGAAATGAAATCGAAAAACGAATAAACCAGACCTTACTCAAAAAGAGACAAGCAAACGATTAATACGATATCACTTTTCCATAACATCCTTTTCCCATTCCCCCTCCTCCGAAATTAGTAATATATTTGCAAAGCAAACACTTTCAAGGTCATTTTACTGCATTCTGAAGTAGGGGCGTAGTTCTATTTATAGCAGCGCAATGCAAAGCATCGTACTTCGGGAAAGCGTATATATACTCCTGCGGCAGTTAACACATCGTCTGGCCGAGACGTATATATACGCCCGCGGCAGTTAAGGGGTTAATTCAGGAAATTGATAACAATCTTGAGTATCTTTGAGAAAACTTATCAGATAAAACCTTGTTTTTCTAGTGTAAGAATAATGATAATGCCTAATTCTTCTGTTTCATATCTGGTATATGTCAATAGTGTTCTGCATGTAAACAATTTAAATTGATTGTAAATTTTGGGGATATTTCCGTATCGTGATCTGACGCGCCAACTATAATTGTCGAGGTGCCAAATACATTTTAAAACTTGAAAATTTTTTTGAAGAAAAAACATGTAGATGCTTGCTGGGACTGGCTACGAGTTATACCTTTCGAGTTGGTCCCTTTCTGTGATGTTTTTTATAGTTTCTCGCGTGCAACTGCCCTGAAGTTTCCAAGACTTGGCGATTATAATTGATAAATCTTAATTTTTCTATGATTTTCAAAGGCGTAATTATATGCGCAGCTTGATATTAGCTTTTTCGAAAGTTTGTATGGCATAGAAGTTTTATATTTATGCTATTGTTTTTAAAATGTAATGATTTAACGTCTTGAACATGGAAATTATTTAGATCTGAAAAGTAGTTATATAGAAGCTAAGTTTTGACATTTGTCGGTATATTCAATGTGAATATCAACTATTAAGAATTTCAGGGATCTATCGTGTTTGGAAAAAAATTGTATTTAATATAATTCCTTTTTTTTTTCTTTCTAAAATCTCTTCTAAACTAACTAAAACTGACTTAATGTGCCCAAAACCTTGAACTTTGGTGAAAGGTAAAAATTCTATTGACGTTAACCAATGCACACGTAATAATTACATATGTTAATAAATATTTGATACTCTCTTTTTATTCAATTTACTTTAACTTATTAAAGGAAAATAAAATTGTAGGAAAAGATTTATAACTTTTGAAGCTCCACAATTCATTGAACAACAAAAGTGAATACCTTATCCTTGAAATATGAATAAATGTGCTTTTAATACTGAAAAATGATGTTTTTGCATAAGGTTAAAAAAATGCAATATTAAAAATAATGATCAGGGGTCTGTCCAGATATTTTGTGAAACAAATTTCTTCTAAACAGACCCCTGATGATAAGCATTTTTAATAAAACAAAAACTTGTCTTCATTCTGTTTCTTGTTCAAAAATTAACCTTTTATTTTTCGCAATATTTTTTTAAAAATTGTGGCATAATTTGAAGAAACGGATTTTGAACAAAGGGGTTTTGGACAGCATGGTTTAAAACGTGGATTGATCCATTCTGTCCTCAATCTTGCCAACTCTGTTTTAAATGTTTAAAATTATAAACTGCAAAACTGATAATTTAGAAAATTAAACAGAATCAGGAAATCAAAATCAATTTATCCGAATAAAGTTAAAATAGATTGAAATGATAAAAAACAATGGGAAAATTCATGTTTTTTATAACTTTACATCAGGGTTGGGTTTTTGACGTCAAAAAGTGGTTTTTGACATGACAAGGGTGTAATACTGGTTTAAACCGTCAAAAATGTCGAAAACTGAAGTTTACCAAGAAAATATATA